GGATATTGAGCATTCCTATGGCAGTGTTTGCTGGAATGCTCTCGTGTCCCTCATGCTGAAATCCCAGCTGATGCTGTAAGTGCTTCCTGCCTAGGCTCTTACTACTCCTCCAACCCTTTCCATAGCCAAACTGATCAGTCTGCAGGACAGCAGCTACTCTGCTAAGAGAAGAGCCATTGCTCTTGTCTCCTGGTATCACCACTAACACCTTCTGTCATGGCACCTCACTTTGAAGGGAAACAGAGCAAAGCCACGCCACGGTGCCAGATGTCACAGCCCACCCAGACACCCTTTCTCCCAGGCTGGGGGCCCCCAGGAAGCCCCTGCCTTCCTACCCATGCTGCTCCCAGAGCCCACTCACTTCCTCCAGACCTCAGCAGCCCTTTGGATGTCAGCTCCCTTCACAGCAGAGGTTCGTGGGAATGCATCTTCTCAGAAATGCTGCTGTCTATGTTTGGTCTTCAAAGGAAACCACGCAGCACGCGTTCAATCACAGAACTCAGTAGAGTTGGGCAAATAAACTTCTTCTTTTTTTTTTTTTCCCTTTATCTTAAGAAATGAGAACGTTCAAGACAGGCAAAAACTACAAAGTCATGTTTCAAACTTCCTTTTTCCAAAACCAAATTGCTACAAGAGGCAACGTGAGCTACACTGATATTTCTTCCCTCTTTTTATTCTTCACGCAGAGGAAATAACCACAAAAACCTCTTTGCCCTGCAGAATGATTGTCCCAGATCTCTCAAAACACAGGGGAGGTAGGGCCGTGCTTCTCATGAGCTGAACAGAAGAATTATCTTAACCAAACACTGCACCTCCTCCCAAAATTTAAACCCAAGCATTCAGGCACTTAAAAAATTCCTTTAAAGACTGATAAAGCACAGCGAGGTACACACATCTGATATCAGAGACCAAGAGGCAAGAAGCAAAGCCCCTGCCTACGGCCATGCTGCTTTGGTTCTCTATGAATTCACACAGCCAAAGGCCGAGGTCTTCTCCAGACACAAACAGGAGGGGAAAAGCTGCATGACACGCAACCCCTTAAGGTCACCTGCCACTCTACAATCACATTAATTCAGGAATTTTTAATTAGCAGTTTCCGGCAACACCTCATTTCTGCCTCGTATCTCACCTCACAGCACTCACATCCCAGCCCAAGAAGCTGGAGGTGTGGATGCACTGAAGCAGGTGACTTGTTTCTCCCCTCCCATCCGAGCTCAGACGTCAGACAAAGGTCTATTATCCTTCATCACAGACTGAGGATGACGAGCTGGGATACAGCTGCCACAGCAGCACTGCCTGCACACCTCCAGTAACGCCACTGACCTGCAGCTCCTCCTATCCCAGCAGGGATGGAAGCACCAACCTTCTGCCTGCAGCAGCCTGTGGTACACACAGCACCCATGGGTGCAACACCTGAGGCTGCAGGGCCAGCTAGCAGCCAGCTTCCAAACCAGTCCAGAGCAGCACCTTGGGTGCCAAGCGAGCAACTCGCAGCTGAGCCACTCAGACCACAGGTGAATTACTTCTCTGCACTATTAGCTTCAGGCAAGCTTTCTCAGTTATGAAGTCCTGACAATAAAACTGTGTGTTCACGGCAAACACAAGTTTAACATGCTGCATCTATTCTTTCCATAGAAAGAGCACAGTAACAGATGAGGCATTTCAGCCTATCATCTACATGGAGCATCAGGATCAGCATCCTTGAAGCCCAGAGCAGAGCACCATTTAAATTCATTAGAAGTCCATAAACGGAGTACGGGCTTCAAAGAATTGAAACTATAACAGAGCACTGTGTCAACTCATTAAAAGCCTATAAACAAAGCACGTTGTCACTGCGCTGTCACAACTGCACTGTGTAGCACTTGAGATCCTGCACAGGGAGCAGCTGCTTTGGAGGGACCCCAGTGATGCCCTCAATGCCTTCAGCCATGGCTGCAGCTGTGCACGAGGAGCAGAGCATCCCCATCATTCCGTTTCATCATTGTGGTTGGTGACCCAGCACACAGCAGGGGGATTGAAACTCCATGATCATTGTGGTCTTTTTCACCCATTATATGACTCTATGATTCCGAATGCAGCGCAGACACCACGGCTGTACGGTCACCTCCGTGCAGGACAGCACAAGCATCCTCCAAGCTGGGCAGCAGCACTGTTGTATCCTCTATTTAACAGGCCAGAGAGGTTGTGGATGCCCCGTCCATCCCTGGAGGTGTTCAAGGCCAGGTTGGATGGGGCCCTGGGCAGCCTGGGCTGGTATTAAATGGGGAGGCTGCACGTGACAGGGGGTTGGAGATTCGTGATCCTTGAGGTCCCTTCCAACCCTTGTCCATACTGTGATTCTCTGCTCACCGAATGCTTCTGGGAGGGCTGTGACCACGCTGCCCATCCAGACCCACGATTCCCCACGGACCAGCAGTCACCTGCAGCTGGAGCACAAACACGCATCCCTCCCAGCATCCCTCCGAGGCTTCACAAGGTGATGACGAGCAGCCCCACCAGCTCAGAGCCCCACGCTCCGGCCTTCCCCACGACAAAAAGTCCCATCGCGCGACCCAACAGCCGTCACCCCGGGGTCGGGCAGGGAGAGAAACAAAATCCCCGCGTCTCCCGGGCCGCAGAGGCCGCTTCGTTTCGCTCCACCCCTGGGTCGCGTCCCGCACTCACCCGCGGGGCCCGGCAGCGCGGGCGCGGCCAGCAGCAGCAGGAGGAGGAGGAGGAGAAGGCAGGGGCAGCTCCGTGCCGCCCAAGCCATCGTGCACCGCGTCGGCCGTGCGGATCTCGGAGCGGGCAGAGCGCCGGGCTTATGCAGCCGGGCCGGAGCCTGCGCTGCGCCGCCCCCCGGGCGGGGCTGCTCCGCCCGCCGCTGGCAGCACGGCGGACACGGGGCGGACCCCGAGGGCAGCGGCCGTTGTTGCCTCGCACTGCGAGCCCCCGGCTGAGGGTTTAGAGCTGAGGTCGGAGCACTGACTTGCAGGGAATCCGGTGCTCAAAGGCTGCGGGATGCGCGGCGTGGGGAGGTGTACAAAAAATACAGCCGGATCACAGAAACACCGAGGTTGGAAAAGACCTCCAAGATCATCCAGTCCCACCATCACCAATAGCACTCACTAAACCACGTCCCTCAACGCAAAATCCAAACGTTCCTTCAACACCTCCAGGCTCGGTGACTCCACCACCTCCCTGGGCAGCTCACTGCAGTGCCTGACCGCTCTTTTGGAGCAGTAATATTTCCTAATTCCAGCCTGAATCTCCCCTGGTGCAGCTTGAAGCCATTCCCTCCAGTTCTATGACTGTTACACGAGAACAGGCCGACCCCCAGCCCCCTACAACCTCCCTTCACGTAGCGATAGAGAGCAGTGAGGTCTCCCCTGAGCCTCCTCCAGCCTGAACAACCCCAGCTCCTGCAGCCTCTCCTCATCAGCCCTGTGCTCCAGACCCCTCACAGCTTTGTCCCCCTTCTTTGAACCCGCTCCAGGGCCTCAATGTCTTTCTTGCATTGAGGGGCCAGATGGAGAGCTCAGGGCCTTTGACACAGGATTCCTCCAGGCACCTGAGGACACAGACAGCTGGGTCCAAAAAACAGTTTATGTATGATACGGCTGGGTAGCAAGCTTGCAGATGTCAGTGTTCTACATTTAGCTCAGCTGTGTTTTGGAGAGGTGTTTAATGCACGGCTGTGCTCTCAGAAGCAGTCACAGATGTGTCACAGAAGGCAGTAAACTCCAATGGTGTTTCATGCTGGAGTTTATTCCCCTTATTCACCTGTATCAAGCGGGATCAGAGCGGAATGCTAATATGAAGCTTTATCTCCACGTGCTTCACGCTGTAATGCAGGTAAAGCCCTCAACTGGCTGCTTGATGGCAGCAATGTGTCTGAGCTGTCCCCCACAAGCTGACAGCAGCAACAGCTTTGGACTCAATGTGGGCAATGGCTGAAGCACAGCCTTAAGAAGCTGTGCAAATCTGGCACAGAAAGTGCTTAGAAATGCTCACACAGCCAGGCTGCAGGGCAGGAGTGTGGTGGCATTGATGAGAGCTGCACTGTGCCACCCACAGCAGCACTGCTGGAATGAAAGCCCAGCACCAAAGCCCTGCAGCACGGGGCTGAGCTGAGCTGACCTCAGCCACATGGAGCAGCACCGTGGCTCTGGAAGGGTTCTGCTGATTGAGGAGGAACATCTGTCCACCTCCTCCTGTGGCAAGGACTGCTGGAATCCAGCTTTAGAGTTTGGCCCTCCGTTTCTTAGAGAAAAACCAATCACCTGCATTACAGTGTGAAACACATGGAGATAAAGCTTCACATTAGCATTCTGCTCTGACCCCACATGACACAGGTGAATAAGGGGAATAAACTCCAGAATGAAACACCGTCGGAGTTTACTGCCTTCCGCTCAGAGCATCACATCTGTGACTGCCTCTGACAGCACAGCCACGCATTAAACACCTCTCCAAAACACAGCGCAGTGCCTTCCTCTGAGAGCAGGTGGCAATAAACAACATGTGATAAATTACTCACGTCACTGAGCAGGTTGTGGAGAAGCTGCAGTACAGCAGACAGAGCATGCTGTAGTACAAACAGCGTCTGCCTGCACACACCCACACTCTCATGGGTCTGGCTGATAGCTGTTTTAAAAATGGCTTTTGAATGCATGTGAATAAACAGCTGACCAACTGGAGCAAGCTTTCTCTTTTGGCCTAATGCTGAGCTCTTGGAAGGTACAGGAGGGTTATACTGCTGTTGCTGCAGTGAATGGTTAAGGAGCAAGGCTGCTTGGCCCTTCACGGCCCAGAAATCTACAGCCATTTTTTTCCAGAGCTGTGAGGAAGACAACCTCTGACTCAGGTTTCTTTCCCTGGAGCCTCTAGCAGGCAGATAACCTCCTGTTCCTGTGGGAGGGAGGAAACAACTCCGCTTCCTGAAGCCAGTTTTACTTACTCTGATGGACCACAGCACAAAGTGAGACAGAAAGCCAGCGCAATAAGTAACATAATTCTGCAAAGTAAGGCAGAAAATTTTATTCCAGCCTGATGTTAGGAAAAACACCACGTGGGATACAGGATGTACACCTTCAACCCCCATAGAAGTTGTGCATGACTTCTGAGTCAGGTAATACCCAGTGCTGCTCATAAGCCAGGCTTATACCTTACCTGAGGTACATAAGGCTTCCCAGGGATTATGATCTTATCATGGATCACAGTTATCACTGTGCACTGTACAAATAACACACAAATGTGAATCATCCCATGAAAAAATGGTTCCTGCCTGAGGGGCATGAGATTCCCAGCTTTGCATTTAGCAAGAGCTGTGCACATCTCCTTTGCACTTCTCCTGTTGTTCACCATTGCTGTTCCAGCCCTGCAACACAGAAACACACCTCAAAGCTTCAAACTGCAGAAACAAACCAGAAAGAAGGCAGGAAGGATTTTAACCACATCTTTTGGGCCAAATGTGAACTTGCCAGCTCTGGAATTGATCTTGACTATATGGATACCTGTGGGACCATTGAGCCTTTGGGTGCTGGACAACAAACTTTGTAAAATTGCAGTTCGGTGAGTCCTGTGCTTAAGCAGAGAGCAAGGGGATGGGAGAAGACACAGAGCTAATTCCTCAAAGGCCATTTGTCAGTTATTTCCACTTTGCAAGAAAAGAAACCCCCCAGAAACCCCCATGACAGGACTGGGCATTGCAGTCCCTCTCTCATTGAATGACAAATATTTATCTTTGTCAGACTGAAGGCTACAAGGACTCCAACTAAACCAGCTAAATTTATAACAGTGTTTTTAAATAGCAAACTCAGACGTGTCATGTTCTCTCTACAACCTCAGTCCTGCTGCTTCCACATCCTCTCCACACGCCATGTGCATGGCATTTGTTTATAAACACTGCAAAGAAAACAGATTAAAGACTCTGGATGCAGTCAGGACTTCCCTGACATCACCAGCAACAATCCAGCTGGCTTAGGAAGCGCCCTCCTTAACACTAGCTGAGTGATCCCACCTACAAACGTTGGTAATGGCTCTGTTTCCCAAATACATTCTTATCAAATTATATCCTTTGCCCAGCCTCCAAACTGGAGGTAATGAATGCCACGTACCTGCCTCAAAGCGTGCTTGGCATTTCCAATCTAAAGACCTCAAATCACTGGGGAGATCAAATTTGGTATTCCTCTGGAGAAGGATACTGAGGGAGAAAGACAGCAGCAGATTTAGAGGGTGAAGAGCAGGATCTTCATCTCCAACCCTCTGCCTTTATACTGCTGAGCACTCTTCAGTTAATCCTCAAGTTTCATTCAGAAAGCCCTTAAAGAGCGACCTCTATAGCTCTGAGCATAATAGAGAAGGGCCAGAGGGGTCTCCCAACATCAACCTCTCTGTACAAGGGGCACTGGGAGCTGAGATACACAGATTCTGCCAGCTGACTGCCTCGGATGCTTGCCTACTAATGAGAAGCACACTGAAAGCACTGGGTCCCCATTTATCTTCAAGACATTTCCAAAGTCACACCCCAGTGAGTTCACAGCTGCGTTACGCAACCTTTAACATATTGCTAGAGCCACTTGGAAGCCTCTGTTATGGCTGAGACCGAGTTATTTTTCTTCCGGTAGCTCCTACAGCACCATGTTTTAGATAGGAATATAGAATCAATTGAGTTGGAAGGGACCCTTAAAGGCCATCTGATCCAACCCCCCTGCAATAGCAGGGATACCCACAGCTCCATCAGATGCTCAGAGCCCCATCCAGGCTGAACTCAGGTATCTGCAGAGACAGAACAACCACCACCTCTCTGGGCAACCTGCGCCAGCACTGTGCTACCCTTACCATAAAATAATGCTTTCCTTATATCCAGTCCATATCTCCCTTCTTTTAGTATGAAATCATTTCCCTTGTCCTGTCAAAACAGCCCCTATTAAAAAGTCTGCCCCCTTCTTTCTTACAGCCCCCTGTTAGTTACTGAAAGGTCGCTCTCAGGTCTCCTTGGACCTTTCTCTTCTCCATGTTGCAGAGTCACAGCTCACTCATCCTGTCCTCCAAGGGAGGTGTTCCATCCCTTGATGCATTTTTGTTAACCTCCTCTGGATGTGCTCCAACAGGTCAGTGTTTCTCCTTCACAAAAATCCCAGCTGAGGGAACTGCAGTTGCCCCTATGTCTATTTAGTGCCTGAGGTTCACAACCCTTGTGGGACCCAGCAGGATGGCCATTGCCATGCTTTGTATTCTGAGCCAGGTGGGACAATTCTGTGACCACATCTGCAGCTGCTAAGCTCAGAGCATCATGCAAGTGGGGTGGGCTGTGCAGTAGCAGTGGAAGGGAGGATACTGCAGTTCCCCAACCTGCTTCACGCTCTGAAATTTGGAACGTAATTAAGTGTATTTAATTCTGACTTTTATTAACTGCATGTAGAAACCAGAAAGAAATCCACCCCAAAACAAATAGATAGGAACAATAACATTAGTAACACATTGGTATTTTAGCTGCTGCAGAGCAGGGCTTATGCTAATTAAGGATATTTCAGCCACTTGTACTGCTCTGCCAGTGAGGGGATAGGGGTATGCAAGGAGCTGGGAGGGGGCAGAACTGGGACAGCTGGCCCACACTGGTTAAAGGGGTTTCCCATGCTACACAGCATTGCAATGAACAATAAAAACAGAGTGCTTGGCCAGAGCTGTTTGACACAGCACCAGGGGAAAGCACCAACCACCAGCCTACCTGCAGCAAGCTGACAGCAAGCCTAGGCAGGCAGGGGTTCTAACAAGCTCTGCACAGGTCCTGTTTTTCCACACAAGCAGCCACAGCACATACCTTGAGGAAAGCTCCTACCACAGCACACAGAATGGCCAGGGTTGGAAGGGACCTCAAGGATCACAAATCTCCAACCCTCTGCCACACGCGGGGCCACCAACCTTCACATTCAACTCCAGCCCAGGCTGCCCAGGGCCCCATCCAACCTGGCCTTGAACACCTCCAGGGATGGACAGGGCATCACAGCCTCTCTGGGCAGCTCTCTTTGTAAAGAAGCACCACACACCTTGAGGAAACGCGCCCACAAACCAAGAAGGCCGGGATTGCAGGCCCTACAGACCAAAGCGCCGCAGACGAAGCCCCACCACGCCCTCGCACCGCCGCGGCCGCTTTAAAAGAAGCGGGCTCCTCCCTCGTCCCTCCTTCTTTTCCGATTGGCTACCGCGACGCCGGAAGCGCTCAATCGCTTCCGGGCCTATGTGTACTTCCGCATTTCTTCGCCTTCTTTCCTGCTTAGCTCTGATTGGTTGCTGACGACGGTCTCCCGCCTCTCGAGCTAAGAATGAGTTCTCCTATTGGTTGCCGGCAGAGCGACGGAAACGGCGGGCACGGAAGGGCTGGGTAGGCGGGAGCGGCGTTTCCTAGCAGCGGGCGCCGCCATGGCGCCGCGGCGCGGCGGGCCGCTGGGCTACGCGCTGCTGTGCGGACAGGCGGTGCTGCTGCTGGGCAACCTGCTGTTGCTGCACGGCGCCTCGCGCGGCCTCCCGCACAACGGCAGCGAGCCGGAGCCGCCTGGACCAGAGCCGCCTGCCGCCACTTGGGCCTACAGCGACCCGCGGGCGCCTCTCGTCCTCTGCACGTACCTGTGAGCACCGGGCCGGGCCTCGCGCGGAAAGAGGGCCCCGCGGCGCGGCCTTCACCGCTTCCTCCTCCCCCGCAGCCCCGAGGAGTTCGTGGAGTGCGACGAGCCCGTGGACCACGGCGGGAACGCGACAGCGCAGCAGGAGCTGGGCCACGGCTGCGTAAAGGTGAGGGCCGGGCCGGGGGCGGCGGGGGCCGGCTGAGGGCTGAGCTCAGTGCAACCCCCCTCCGCTCCCCGCCCAGTTCGGCGGACAGGCACACGGCGATGTGGATCACACGCGAGTGCAGTGCCGGGCGCTGGACGGCATCGAGTGCGCCGAGCCGCGGAGTTTCCTGCGGGGCAGCCGGCCCTGCGTCAGGTAGGGGCTCTCTGGAGTGAGCCACAGCCGGAACTGGGCTCAGGGAGCCCCGGGGTGGCGGGCAGAGGTTGTCTGCCCACCCCTCCGACCCACTTCCGGCCACCCGTTGCAGGTACACCGGCCATTACTTCATCACTACTTTGCTCTACTCGTTTTTCCTGGGCTGCTTTGGTGTGGATCGCTTCTGCCTCGGCCACACGGGCACCGCTGTGGGGAAGCTGCTGACTCTGGGAGGTCTCGGGATCTGGTGGTTTGTGGATTTGATCCTCCTCATCACTGGGGGGCTGATGCCCAGCGATGGCAGCAATTGGTGCACTGTGTACTGAGCAGAACCAGAGTGGATCCCTGGAGCTCACTGGAGATGGACTCCTCCTCTTGCTTCAAAGCATCAGAACAAACTCCACTTGAGGACTTCTGCCTTGCACAAATATGGATTTACAAAGCTGTAACTTAATCTGCAGAACAGTTGTTCTTGTTAATTCCTCTGTACATACGTTGGACACAAAATTGGGTATATATTTTGCTCGTTTAAAACAATCTGAGCTTTTTTCTTCTCAAATGATAAGTTTGACAACTCAGACTTTGCAAACACAAGTGGTCAAATTAATAAAGTCTGGAAAGAGCTGACTCCACTTATTTTTGATGTTAGTACACTACAGACAGAGATGCAGGCCTCCAGCCTGTGGTTTTGTGTGGTGGTTTAACAGACATTTAAAGCTGAAACCTAACAGTGTTATAGAGGGGAAGTGACAAGCTCAAATTCTAATTGTTTGCTTATGCCCACACGCGTTTGCTACACGTTGAAGCTGAGTAAGATCTAGCAGAGAGACTGGAACCTTCTGAAGAATGTCACTTTCCTCTCTTTCAGGCTGGAAAAGCAACAGTACAGCAAAAATAGATTCGGGATGTAAAAGTAATACTGTCCATATACTGTGAGAGAAATGGGTTTGGGAAATAAAAGAACCTGAGGGCTTCAGGCATGGCACAGAGTTCTTGCAGTACTGGAACAAGCAGAGGCCTCAAGCAACTGCACACACACACAAAAGAGGAAGCTCTGCCAGCTGCAGTTTGAGAACTTCCCAAGTTGAATAAAAACGGGAAAGGGAAGCTACAGCAAGACACAGACAGCCAGAACCAGACACAAAAATCCATACATGCAAAAGCCCAATAAGATTTGACATAAAATACAGCAGATGTATACTTTCCATTCCCATGGAGTTCTGCAAACTGAGCATCCTCCACCTGCTTGCATTTAGCTGCCTTCTGCTGGTGTTACTTCTGTCCTGTGGAACTGCAAAAGGTTTCAGCCTGGCAGGGAATTAATTGCGCCCGTTCCAGTTTTGCTTTGTGGTTTGTTGCAACAACTCCTCCTCTCTGGGGAATGGGATTTATATCCCATTTAGGTCACAAGTAATCTGAGTTTGGCAGCTTTGAACGGGTCTCAGGGCTGTGGGGTGAGGTGGGGGGGGGGGAAGCCTTCATTATAAATCTACCACATTCTTCAGCCCAGTGGAACAACAGGGCTGGGGAGCCCGTGGTGGGAAAAAAAAAATTAATTTGTGAGCCAGAAAGAAAAAAATAATAATAATCCTGTGTGTAAAAGCCCATCATCATTAACATCTCCCTGTGTTCTCAGCCCGGCAGCTGCCAGCTCACAGCAGGAGCTCGCATTCCTTCCATCAGTGAGGCTGTCATTAACTGCAGTGAGGGGGACCCTGGGCATTGCTGATACCCTTCGTTGTGCCCTCAGCAAGGCAGAATTCATTGGAGCTTCCCTGGCTGCAGGGATTCGGCCCTTCTGATCTGAACTTCTTTGCTCTGCAGTTTCCCACATAAAATTCTCTCTCTGGGATTTCAGACATAATATGTGATAGTTACTCTTATTTTTTTTAATTGCTCTGAAATTAAAAGGGCTTCTGAGCGCTTGGAAAAAGAAAAACGCTCAGTTATTATCTTCACTTAATAACAGATACAGAAATTTACATTCATTAGCTGCCACAGAGTTGTATTGCACGAGAAGTCAGATGACACGAGCGTGGGGTCTGACTTTATCCTCACATAAAGTGAACTTCCCTGCTTTTAACTCCCGTTGCGAGCGAGGCTAATGGAAAACATTTCAAAGCAAATCTGGGTGGAGGAGTTCTCTCCTTGTAGGACGTCTGGCACTGTAAATGAAAGGACTGAATTGACTTCCTGGCTGCTGCCTTCCCGGTGCGCGGCCGCATGCAAAGAGCAGAGACGCCTACGGGGCAGCGGCTGCTGATTACAGCTCGGCTCTCACAGCCCCGACCGGGGAGCTGAGGAGCAGCGCTCACCCCCTGGATCCCGCTGACCCCGAGCGCAGCGCTCTGCGGTCCCACAGCCCCGGGGCGCCGTCTGGCACTTGGTCTGGCGCTTCACCGATAGCATCTGTCTGTACGCAGCCCACGTCCCGCCGAGCTCTTTGTACCTCCAAAATGAAACCCTGCACGCCTCCGAAGCGCGGGGGATCGGGGATGGAAGGAGGGGTTGCCCTCAGGGCTCCCTCTGCAGCGCTCTGAAAGCAAAGGCAGCAAACGGCTCATCGGGAGAAGGCATCAAGGTGCGTGCACCCGTTGTGTGCCAACAAACTGCCCCCCAAATGCCTTCACTTCCTTTCACCTCTTACCAAGCACAGCACCAACAGAGAGCCTGGAAAAGCACCTGGGGTTTCCTTCTTTATTTACAAAGAGGCAAAAGAGAGTTCCATCTGCAGCCAAAACCCATCTGCAGGCTGAGGGACCCCCGGCCCTAAGAGCACTTGGAGCACGGCTGGGAACCATTTGGGCATTTGCATATCAAAGAGCAAACTCTCCCATCACATCCCATACAAAACCCCCAGAGCCTGCACACATCTCCCACCAATGCTTCATTCTATCCCAGAGATGAGGAGTGTGGGAATGGGAGAAGAGAGAGCGTTGCGACAGCGCTGCAGCCACAGGTAGTTACCTTCCTGGATAATTAACCTTAATTGTGCAACTAGCTTCTGCTCCACCATCCCAGGCCTGAGGAAACTTTGCAATTGCTAAGCAACACGGCTTGGTGCTGTGTTTGAAGCCTTGCACAAAGGAACCATCATTTAATGGGTTCCCAAAATGAGGTCAGAGCGCCGACATCACCCAGTGCTGCGAGTGTGAGCAACAGCACAAAACCTCCAGGGAACAGAGCACCAAACCAGCAAGCAGAGGTCAGCCGAAGGCAAAAACAAAGGAAAAAGGCAAAAAGGAACAGCCTAACTGAGGTTTCTACAATTAAATAACAAATATTAACATTCTCCCAGTACCATTTGCATTGTTTTCCCACTCGTTTTCATCATTTCAGTGTTCTCCAGCACTCCTGCACGAAGCTGCCCTTGCCCCCTTGGTCTGGGGGATCCCATTCACCTTCCTTCACTGTATAAAGTGTATCTGCAGCTGCTTCTCCACGGGTCACAACAGACACAATGGGAAAGCAAAGTAATGCCATCTGACAACACCCTGCCACACTGGGGCTGATTTTGCAGAGCAGAGAATGCGTAATAACCAAAAGAAAAGAAAATAACTATACAAAGCAAAGGGACACCTTGCTAACTGCAGGGCACTCCAGCACTGCTGGGCTTGCAGCGCAGCCCCACACCTGCAGCCCTGATCCTTCAGCTGCAATGCAGGTTTGGGCAGCTCAGCTCCAGCACTGCGTGCAGCTCTGAGTGCACACAGCACCAAGCCCTGCTTGCAGCACACATGGCATCCTACAATGTGCTATTGGGCTAAAGGCATCAAACAATCACTCCAATGGGAAGAACTTGCATTTTCCATGTGCTATGTGTCACACCTCCCACAGGAGGATATTTGCTTATGGAAATGACCGGCTCACACTGCTAAGAAAGGTTCTTCTCATTTTCATTCTGAGTCAGCGCAGGGCGGTTGGACGAGTCTCCCGGGGTTCATCTACACTCTCAGCTTTTGTTGCTTTGTGCACAGACGGGTCTTTTTGGTGCCTAATAAACCCCAGAACAACCTGAGGATACCAAAGCCCCAGTCACTGATGTCCCACCAGTGAGCCGCACACCTCACTGGGATGTAACAATGGCCACAGATACAAAAGGAGGCAGTTAGATGCCACTGTGTGTGCTGGTATCCCATCAGTTGAGCAGCGCATGGAGCCGATCTCCAAGAAACATCATCCAACACTGCAGGCTGCAGCGCAGCTCCTGCTCCAGGCACAGCTGTGCTGGGGAAGACTGAGCGGCACAGAAGGGAGATGAACGTTCTTCCAAAGAGATGAAAGGCCGCCTCACCCTCCTCGTGCCTCCTGCACTGCCTTCCATATTTTGGTGCTGGGGGAGAAATGATGCCGCACAGCCACGCAGGGGGCACGCCGTGGGGCAGAGGCAATGTCAGACGTCAGAGGTCCGGATGCTGTCATCGTCCAGGTCAAAGAGGAACGACTTCTCCTTGTGGTGCTGCGGTTCCGAGCGATGCCGCAGGCGCTGACCTGGCACAGGAGCTCCATCGCGCTCCGTCAGCGCCGGCACAAACACTGCATCCCGGCTGGGCACTTCAGGCTGCCTCCTGTCCTGTGGCACTGGCGTCCAGGGCTGCCAGGCAGTGGCTGGGGCCTTGCAAGGTGTTCTCCTCTCCTGTGGATGTGACGGCACCGAGCTGCTCCCGGGTTTGATCATGGAGCAAGAGCGCATGAAGGAGATCTCCTGCACGGAGCCAATGTTGGTTGGTTTCTCTGTGCTTCCGGAGCCACATGCAGAGCTCTGGGATCACAGCCCTGCACGTGCTTTGCAGCTTGTAAGTCAGCAGAATCATTGCTAGATGCCAAATAGGATACAGATGGGTTCACCTACCCTGGGGCGGGTCTTCAGGGCCTGCACTGCCCCTGCGATGGCCCGGATCCAGCTGTGCATGTCCTCAGGGCTGTCTGCCTGTGGGATAGGAGGAGCGAAGCCCAGAGCTCACCCTGCCCCAGTGCAGGAGCTCCACTGGGAACGGCTCCAGCCCTGTGCCCACCACCACCCCCCTCCGTACCTGGATGTAGAAGGTCCTGGAACTTGTGATGATCTCAAAAAGGTTGTCCCGCATCAGGAGGTCACTGAAACAGTGAGAAAGGGGCACTGGTGATGCCACACTGGGTAGCAAAAGTCCATGTACATTCCTTCAACTGGAGAATACGGGGACACATTCAGGGTGAGGGTCCCATCAGATGAATCTACGTTAATATATTCTATTTGTAACAAGCTAACGAGGTTTGTTCTCTGAGTTCATTTCTCACTGCAACTCTTCCAGGTCGATCTTATCAGCATCCACCGAACAAATGGTTCCCAAGATTCTATGCAGCCACCTGTGATGGCACAGGGAATACGCCTGTGCGTGGCTCCCAGCTGCCTCAGGAACACCTCTGTGCTGCTGTCACACAGTGCTACGCATTGAGCAGCACTTTGTGCTCCTCCATTGGGAGATAAGCGCCGTGTGAGCACACCCAGCACACAGATGGCTATCAGCGGGGCGGAGAGCAGCTGCAATATCCTGCGTCCCAGCACCCTCGCCTGCACCTGGGGACTGATGGAACACGGGTTTCTTCAAAGCAAAACACAACTGAGGTGTCTGCAGGGTGTCTGGAGAAAGCAAGAAGCGACATCTGGGACATGGGGAGAACTGGAGAAGCTGGGAGCCATGCAGCCCCCATGGAGCAGCCAGTGTGTTCCCATAGGGGAAATTCAACATTTGAAGGGGATTTGGGGTGGGGGTGGCAGCCAAACCCCCACTCTCCTCCTCCACGGAAGCCTTACCCGGATTTGACCAGGCACTCGTGGGTCTTGCAGATGTCCTTCAGCAGGATGGAACGCAGCGGCTCCTTGTCCTGTGGGATGAGAGGGGCTGTGCTGGGGATCACCGCTCCATTGGGACACAGAGGTCCCAGTGCTCAGCTCCAGCATGGCCAGCTGCAGGCGGGGCAGGAGCTGCTCACCTGCTCACATTTGTAGTAACTGATGGAAAACTCATCGAGGACAAAGTAGCGGCGCTTCCAGCTCTTCCTCTGGAAAACAGAGGGGACCGCTCGGCGTTGGGCTCCACACTCCCCACACCAGGGATGCCCTGGAGGCACCCGGAGCATCCCCAGCCTGAGGGAGCAGCCTGCACCTGTCCAGCACTCACCACATTGCCCTGCTTCACGCAGAAGCCGCTCTTGATGGCCGGTGGCCCGGCGGGCGGCTTGCTGGCAGAGGCAGGGATGTAACTCTGCGAGCGGCGCAGCAGTGGGTGTGCAGTCGGGTCACTGCCCTCTGCTCCATCCCCACCATTCTGCAAATGGGAGCACACAGTTACTGGGAGGAGAGCAAGCCAGAGCGTGTCCTGGGCACAGCAAAAAGACTCATTGACCTTCCAGTCCCACTGCACGTTCTTATGGCCGAGCTGCTATTCACCTGCTGGAAACTGAATGCCTGTAGCCCAGGTAGGAGCACCACGGCATCCCCACCCAGCACAGATTGTAGCTGAGCTCAAACATCCGTGCTCAGCTCCCTCCAGCCCCTTCCTCCTGTTCTCAGTCTGAGGTTTGCACATTGCCATAGCAGCCACTGCTGGCTCACACCCGCACCACCCTTATATGGCACCATGTGGTTAAACCAGCAACCGCCCTGTGCTCACGCTGCTCCTTCCAGCACCTTCAAGATGGTGCTTTGGTTTTCCCAGGCCAGGGACCAGCAGCAGTTCAGCCACTTCAAGCTGCAGCAGGCAGCACGGAGCCCTTGTTGGATCTGTGCAAACCCCCATTGAGCAGCTCCTCGTGCTCCAAACCACTTCCCTGTACACCAAACCACCTCCTTCTGCACCTTGGGCACATCTGCAGCGCCGCCCCAGGAGCTGAGTGGGTGATGCTGCTGTGTGCTGAGGGTGGTGGGAGCGGGGCTCCCCAATGCAGTCCCTGAACTGCACAGGGCCAGCTCCAAGACATGGTGAGCGTGCCCAGGAAATGGCAGTGGGAGCAGCAGCCATCTGCCCCTGGGCTAGGCAGCGTGCACAGAAAATAGCCCAGCAGCTGATGCACTGCCTCTAAAAACAACTCCTCTGCAAAAAAATAAAAAAATGCCAGGAAAGGGCTGAGGATGGGGCTCAAGGGCAGGATCCATCCCCACATCTCGGTGAGAAGATTGGCTGCCAGTCCCCGACACCAGCAGTTGAGGTCTGGAAGGCGGCAGTGCCACGGGATGGGCAGGGAGCAGAGAGTGCCCTCCTCCTCACACCCCCACGTCTCATCACTCCTCAGCGTGAGACACAGCAGAGATGCTCGAGGTGCTGAGAGCAGCTATTTATACACTCTGAGTGGGAAGGCATTGCAGGCACAGCGCTGCTTTCCAGAACCAAAAGTGCAAAGCAGCCTCCAGCAGCACGGCCAGGAACAGCCTCCCCCAAAGCCTCGTGCTGTGCCAGGGCAGGCACACACCAAGCAATCCTGGGCTGCTTCTCTTCTTCCTACACCTTCCCAGCCAGAAACGCTCTGGACACATCACCACAACTCCATCCCTGGGGACACCACCACGGGACACCAGTGCAGCAGTGCCCACAGCTCACCTGGCTGATGGAGATGGGGGTGTGCACCACCACCCCACCGATGATTTCAGTCTTGTAGGCCACCGGGGGCTTCCTGTCCTGTGCCTGCAGCGCTGCAGGAGGCTTCGTGACCTCAGTGGTGGGAGGTGCAGCAGCACCACCCTTTGGGACCTGCAAGGGGAGGAAAGGGAGTGATCCGTGGGCACCTCCACATCGGTGTTCCCAGCCAAAACGCAGCCGTGGCCCTTTAAAAAACATCAATGGGGCCAACAGCCCAATTAGGGAGGGTGCGGCCCCCCACCCCAGCACTTCACAGGAGGCACAGACGTGAAGAGGTGGTGAATAATTCAGCATCACCCCACAGGAGTCTGCATCGCCTCTGCAGCCCCGGTGCGTTTGTGGGACAATCGCTCCTTTAATTGTCCCCGCTCTACTTCCAGCCAAGGGTTAATGATGTGCGCTCATCTGCCTAATGAGGCCGGGCTTCAGCACGTCTGCGGGGACGTAGGAGATGGGTGGGTGCTTCTGCACACCCAGTGCCACGCACTGAGCACCAGCAATGTCCAGCTGCACCTGCACTGCAAGCAGCCCCCTGCCCAGCGCCTGCCTGCCCCCAGCCCCTGCTCAGCTCAGCACAGCGGTGCTGGGGAGCTGCAGGAAGCAGTTTCACAACGCACGCATGGAGACATTGCATGCAGGCAGCAGGCAGTGGGCAGCAGCTGCAGCTCCTGTCAGCCTCCATCGCACGGCACAGTGCAACGGTGCAGCAGGAATGAACTCCTTGTGCTGAACAGAGCAGAGCAGCACCCAGCTGCCTCTGTCACCATCACAGCAACCATCATGAGCCGCGTGCTCTGCACCGCATGCGTGCACAGTGGAGAAACACAGGAACCGAGTGGTGCACACAGAGCAGAAGTCTCTGACAGAAGAGGAAGCTGAGCCTGGCACCGGGAGCAGCACCCAAACTGCCAGCCCTGCTCCTGTCCCCAGCACAAGCCTGCATTGGGCTGGAAAGACAAAGGGGGTGCCCCGGGTACGCAGCACCCAAATGCTCCCAGCACGCAGATGGAGAGCTGCACACAGAGCACAGATGGTGCTTTGTGCTTCACATCCATCCCTCATCGCCCGCAGCGCCGGGCTGCAGACACCAGCGGCTGCTGGGTCAGCGCCCATCACTTCACGGCTGCATGAACAGTGCAGAAAATGAAAGGAGGCTGTGGGCAAAGCTCTGAAATCTGGGTACAGCCTGCCCTGCACGGCCCTCCAACAGCACAATGCACAGCGTTTCAGGAAGGATGGGAACTCAGCACAGCACAGAAGCACGAGAAAGGAGCCCTGTGACCCACCGTGATCTTGCTGGCACGGTTGAGAGCCTCCACCCAGTCCTGCAGGTCCTTCTGGTCGCTGGCTTGCAGGAAATAGCGCTGGGACAGAGCGTTGATCACTGCCAGGGAAAGGGTTGACAGTCAGGAATCCCCTCTGTGCATAGTGGGGCACCCCAACCACAGCTCCTGCATCCCCTCACTCACCAAAGCAGAACGGAGTTTTGGGTTTCTGTTTTGGGGTGGCGATGCTGACCTGCAGAGCAAATTAAAGGGAAAGGATCAGCACCAACGCTGTCGACACGCTGGGAAGCTTTCAAAGCCCTGAACGTTCAGGTTTCTACTGGACTAACGCAGTCACTCTTGTCAGCAATTAAAGAAATTGGAGGCAAATAACAGTGGTTTCTCCCTGAAAGTGGAGGAATCATTTATATAAGAATCACATCCCGCAGGGCTCCAAGCACAGCGCTCACGGGGTATTATTCTGACAGACTTCCTCCTTCCCAGCCAGTCCGTAATGCTTCACGTATGTTTTCTCCAGCAAAGCCCCATTTTTTGGCACACGCAGAGTTGGGACTCAGAGCCCCCCGGCACAACGCAGCCCCGCAGTTTGTGACCAAACGTTGTCTTACAGCAATTTCCACTCAGACTACGACGTCTATAATTTACCAACGCGGCTCCTTCCGACGTGGGGAAAGGCTCAGCCCCACAGCATTGCTTCATCTGTGCTTAATTTATAAATCATAACTCAGCAGAATGGAGGAATCTGCTCCGTTCCCTCCAGGCTCTGCTGCCCCAGCTCACAGCACGCTCACACCATGCAGATCCAGCTGGTCGTTGCTTGATGCACCTTTTCTGCCCTTCCCTGGGAGAATGGATGCCTGGGGAGGGCAGCAGGTCAGGATAGCATGGCACAGAGCAACTGTCCTCTCTCCAGGCCTTACCTTGGAGATGTAGGTGAGCTGCAAAGAGCCGACGGCGCCCGCTCCCATCGCCAGGTTCTGCAAAGCACACAACAGAAGGGAGGTGAGAGCAGAAGGCAAAGGAGACCCAGGGTCAGCATCGCTGGGTCAGGTGCTGCTGTGGGGCTCAGGGTGCAGCCAAACTCATGCAAATGGGAACTCTGCTTTATTTGCTTTGGATGCAACTGCAAAGGGATGCAGAGTTCAGGATTGTTGGTGACCGGGCTGCTAATAGGCACAATCCCACTGTGCTGCTGCTTCCTTGGAAAGCCCAGTGGAGGAACCAGGGCTACTTGGAGTGGATGAATTGCTTCCAGATGTGGCCGTGCTCAGCACCACTACGTGGCTTTGCCCCAAGCAGGCAAAGCCTAACGCGTCCCCACAGACCTCACCAGGCTTCGAATGGGGCTGCAGCAGTGGAAAATTCAACCCCAAGCTTGGAAAGCAATAGACAGGGGAAAAACCCTACCCACGTGCTTCATGCAAAAAGCATTCCCACCCATTAAACCACAGTGGAATGGGCACAAAAGTGACACCGTGCTGTCCCCAGGACCTGGCTGTCCCACAGCACAGGGAACAGCTCAGCCTCAGGGGGACCTGGGTGGGATCAACCCTGAGCCCTACCTGCGGGTTGTCCATGTACCACAGCAGGCAGTTGGCCTGCGTGTCCAGGATGAAGTAACGCCGCAGGAATTTGCCACAGGTCTCATTTTCCTCAATGTCCAGGAACCCACAGATACGGTTCTGTCGGTCCAAGTACGGCATGCCGGGCTCCTTCTGGCATCACCCTGCAAGGAAGGATCGGTGGCAACGGTGAGCGCCGTGCTGCTGAATGCAGCCCCAACTTCTGCTGCCTCTCCCAGGTCTCCACAGCACGCGGCTCAAAGCCGTGAGAGCAGAATGAAACTGCTCCCTCTGCACATTCGTGCTGTGGGGAAGCTGCCAGGCGAACACAGAAGTCATCCAGCATGCTTCTGCGATGAGAAAGGAGCGCAGGGTGACTGCATCACCAAAGTAAAGCTTCCAGCCCATCTGCATCGCTCCAAGAACTCCGGCACTGCAGCCAGAAGGGATGGACCGTGCTGAGTGACAGCCCCACGGCCCAGCGCTGCCCCATAGGACAACAGAGCAGCTGCAAAGGGCTGGAATTAGCAGTGCGAGGCCCCTGGGGATCGCTGACCAAAAGCAGCACTGCGTGCTACGCAGAGCCTGAGCACACTCCCAGGAAATGCCCAACAATGTGCAGCTCCAGCAGGAAGCGCGAGCCGTGCGATGCAGAGTCAGCAGGGACAGCTATGGGCAGAGCCCCGCGGTGCTGTGAGCACCAACATCCCCAAGGAGCAGAGCAGAGCTCCAGTGCCAGGCAGGAGATGTGGGCAGCACTCAGTCCAGCAGAGCCCCGTGGTTGAGAGACGGAGGTAGAAGTCGTGGTGATGGATGATGCAGGCTGGGGTTGGCGCGGTCCGGACAGCAGAAAGGAAGGTGACTCGTGCAGGTGCCAGAAGGAACCCACACAAACAAAATATCTCATGCAGAAAAGGAGGAAATGCTATTTTTGAGCCCAATAGCTGCAGTGGAGTGGCAAGCGTTGTGCAAGAGCTGCGGTGCAGCTGTGGAGGCAGAGGTGGGAGTAAAGGTGACAACCTGTCCCCAGACCTCAGAGCCCCACGTCAGCGCACAGGAGATGGGTATCACAGCTCTGATGGGGGAAACGGTGCTGCTTCAGTGGGGAGGGCTGCTTCAAAACAGCACATCTGCCCCGACACAAAGGACGTGTGGGTGCTTCACATTTCACTGCCTCTTTTTTTTGTGTGTGTGTGTGTGGGTTTATTTTTGTGGGGTCAGGGAGTGCACATGAAACAGATTCCCAAGCGACTTCAGCGGCACCCAAACAAGCAGACAGAGCTTCCTGAATCACCTCCTGCAGCGAGCAAAAACCCGTTTCCTACAAAATTGGAAGGGACTGGGCCACGGCACAGCACTCCTGTGGCTTTTGGGGTCGGTTTGGGGATTATTACCCAGTTCCTCCCCCTCCTTCCCCCAGGACACACACTGCAGCTCCTCACCTCTCCCTTTTGCCATCCCGCATTAACAGAGCATGCAAACAGCTCAGCTCTTCCACGAGCTGACCTCGGGTTGCACCTGGATATGCAAAACCCATCGAGGAGAGGAGATAACGATCTCTCCAAACTGCCTTCGGGACAGCGCTGGATTCCCTCTTTGAGGGCAGGAGCCGTCCCCACCCTTCCCCACCCTCTTTGGGAGCCCCGTTGCTCCCAGCTCTCAGCACTCCAACATCACCGCCTGCTCACAGCCACCCCAATTTCACTTTTACATAGGAAAATGATGAAAGCAGCAGCTCCGGCTCTGTCAGCCTGCGGGCATTTGGTCCTGCCGTTCAGGAAGAGGTTCATTTTGCACTAAACGTTTACTATTTACACAGCACTCTGTAAATCCAGAGCCGTAAATATTTGCACACGTTTGCTATAGGAAGGCCACAAGACTAAATCTGGAAGGTGGAGAATAAGTGGGACTGAACACATGAAGGACCACACAGAAAATCAGCATCTCTGGGGATGTGCA